AAATCAACTCCTCAAGGAACATTTTAAAATTCAGGATAAAATATTTGAAAGATTAACATTTAATCAATTTAATTCCCTTTTAAAAGATATAATCCACACTTTAAGATGAATTTTAAGGGGCCGGGGAGATGGCTCAGTAGGATAAGCACTTGACTGGCAAATGCAAGGATCTGAGTTCAATCCCCGGTTCTGCAAAAAAAAAAAAAAAAGATGAATTTTATCATTATTCCTGACTTTTGTGTGAATTGTAGTCTTTTTTTTTTTTCGAAATTACAGGAATTTTATTTGCCTCAGGCTTATGACTTACAACCAAAGACACTGTGCAAAGAAAGCAAAGATTAAGTACACTTTAAGGAGACAAAGACAATACACATTGGTGACACAGGAAAGCAGGTGGACAAAAGAAGCCATCCAGTACACTGAATAGATGGCAATATTCAATAGCATTTTCAACAAAATTTTTTAAAACCAGGAGCAAAAAAATTAAGCAATGTTTACAGTGGACATAAATCTTATACAGTTTAAAAAGCATTTTTCAGGTCATAGATCGTAAAGTAGAAAATTGTATATGTAGGGAAATCTAACTACTATACATTTGTCACCTATTAAAGTGGCTCTTATATACCACAATATAAAAAAAATACCAAATAAATAAAAATCTTGAAAATTGCCTGATGAAAAATAAAATAACCAGTGGCTTTTAATGGCTTCTCCTGGCTACCAGTGCTACAAAAGATAAAAATCTCATCCAAACAGGTGATAAAAACAGGCACAAACTTTTACCAAATTAGACCCACCCATAGAAACATACTATCCACCCACATTTTCCATCAAAAGCTTTTGTTTTAATCTTTGAATCTTTGAGGCCCATTTCATCACAATATGTTATAAACTTTGTGTTTTTTACACATGATATCACGTTTGTCTGGCACTATTCTAAAGCTAGTTTATAAGATGAGGAGGACACAGAACCCAGTGCCCACAGGACACGTGAAGCCACTGGGTAGAAATGGGAGGGGGAGGGAAAATATTCAGTTCGGCGGGGGTCACTCGTCATCAGTCCCACTGGCTTCTGACTGGTCGCTTTCATCCTGGTCTTCGTCGCTGTCAAAGTCGCTCACCACTGGCTTTGCTTTCCCTCGATTTGGCCTTTTCTTGACTTTTCCTCTGTCTTGGTCTTTCTCATCTCTCTTATTGAGCTTGATTTTCACCTTAACAGATTGTGCCCCAGACTCAGACTGCTCATCATTGTCCTCTTCCTCTTCCTCATTGCTTTCCTCCTCACTTTCTTCCTCTTTGGCAATTTTCTGCCTCGCACTCTTAAACACCGACTGGAAGACGACGGAGTCTGTAGAACTGGGATCCCTCCTAGTTGAACATCTGAGCATTGTGACACAGAAGCATGACATCTTTCTCCAGGTTGCCCAGGCTCCAGTACTTAGGATTACAAATTCTTTCCTTTATTTTTTAAAAATTTGCTGGCTTCCTGATTAATTCATAGTATTCTGGTAACTCTTTGCTGGAAGGTAACTGAATAAAGATCTCACAGAGCTGCCGCCTGAACTATCTTCGTAGTTGATCACAGTATCAATGATAGCGTTCATCTGTTTTGTCAGTTTGGGGGGATTTGGTGACAGCTTCTTAGCTGGAGGATGGCCTCTCCTCTTCTTAGCTTTCTCTACATCTTCCTTCACAGGATCTTTGTCCACATTTCTTCATCTTTTGCTCTTCTTAAGCCATACTTCCTATTACATTTCTTCCAAATTGCTGTCTTCAGTGGCTCCATAGTTTGCCTCTAACGTAGTTCATGAACAACAGGCTTCCTGGCTCTAATCCTTATTTTAGATTATATTAATATTTATATTCACCACTAGGTGTCAGTAAAACCACATGACAAAGAGTTTGCCAATAGCTTTTTACATAATTCAGTGCTCTTGAGAGCTTTCAATAGGGAAAGTTCAAAACCATCTTGTATCCCTTGGTGACAGCAGACTCGCACTGAATATTTTAACTTGCCCTAGAGTTACCTACAAGCTCTATGGTGGTGCCAGACCCTTCCATTATTGGTTCTGGAAAGAACTTCTGCTGTCATTGACCCGTCTTCTATCTGATTTAGATCTCTCGACAGGTGGTCACTCAGTCTTTCTTTACACCCTCTCAGAGTGAGGCTTTCTCTTTATGAGCTTCGGTAGGTGGTAATTCCATGTTGTGTAGTTATAGCTCCTCAGGCTGGAGCAAAGTGAAAGCTTAGTCAATTACGCTGCTGAACAGTTGTCATTAAGAATTCCTTGTATACTGAATCAAAAGCAGTCCCACTTATAATGTCTGGTTACTAATCACAATCCTGGAGGCATGATTATGGTGGGGGACACTGTCATTCTTTACCATCTCAGCCTAATGATGAGAGATGCCAATAAATTGCTCCTTTTTATCAAAAGTTTTTCTTTTGCCCCATGAATTATCACTACTCTTACAATTTCCCACGTATAGCATAGTTTTAAAACTTCCCACTGTCCATCTTAAATAACTAAATTTCTAATTCCTATTGGGTTTAAGTTCCTCTGACATGTTTCCCAGGGTTTAGTATACTGCTGCAGATATAATCTAATTTAGCTAGGAGTAGTATAAGACTAGTAGCTACTCTAGCTCTCACCAGCTCATTTGCTCCAAATTCATATATCCAGAAACTACATTCTCTAGAACACAGGAGTGAAAAGCCCAAAATATTTTTTTTCAAAAACAGGAACAAGTATTTTTTTCCCTAACATATAAACACATAATTTGTTTAGGAGGAAGAGAAACAACTTGAATAGATCAGGATACACCTTCACATTAATCATTCCTCTCATAGACTTCAAATCTGTGCTTAGTGCCTTTCTCCTCCTGGACCTCAGAAAGCACACCTGGGTATTTCAGGAGGAGCCTGTATTCTTCAAATCAATTTCTGGAAAAAAGTGTGTCACTTTTAAATTCCTGCATGGTCCTTGTCACGAACAGTTTGACATGGCCTGGCCAATCCGTGGCTTCCTTGTAAACGGCACTGCCACCCATGACCCACACCAGGTCCACCTTGCCGGCTAATTCTGGCTACTCAATAAGCTTCAGAGCATCATCCAATACATCACTCTCAGTCAACCGAGGAGGCAAAATCTTGGGACACAAACAAGAATCTCTGACAGAAGAGACGCCTAAAGAACAGACACCTAACTTCACAGAGAAGTTCTGATTACAGTGATACAGCTACCTACCATCAAACTTTCACAAGAAAGTATCATAGAAACCAAAATAGAGTTGTCTCTGAAATAGAAAAAGACAAAAAGAGCAAAATGCAATCAATCTCGAGTCCACCAGAACAAACCCAAGAGATATCAGCATAGAAGAAATTGCAAGTCACACATTTGAATTCTCTGAAATAATAGCAACTGAAGTAAAGAAACAACTGCAAAAGGCTATAGAGGAAATCAGTTCAGAAATAGTCTCCTATGTAAAAAAAAAAAATGATATCTATAATGAAAGTATTACTAAGCATTTCTAAAGAAGACACTGATTTTAAAAAGTAGAGGATAATAGAAAAATTATGGAAACCTTTAATGAGCAATATAGGAAAGAAATACAATGCATGAAACATTGAAAGAGACATACAGGAAACAAAATACTCTGTAAAAAGATGGTAAAACAATTTATATGAAAGAGAAGATAGATTTTCAGACCTTGAAGACACTGTTGCAGCTAGTGAAAGGTTAAGGAAAGGTCTCTTAAAAACCACTAGGATCCAGAAAATAATGATTCAACAGCAGCAAGACAATGCAAAGATGAAAACATAAGACTAATAGGCATCAGTGAGAAAAATAGGAGCTAACACAAATGACAAAAAAGGATTTGGGCAGAACTAATAGCAGAAAACTTCCCAAAGATGGGGAAATAATCTGACATTCAGGTAACTGAGATATATAGAACTCCAAATAATATCAACCCAATTAAAACTCCACCCAAACATATAATAATAAAGATCCCAGAAATTCAGCACGAGAGCAGTATACTAAAAGCCACTAGAAAAAAGAAACAGATCACATTTAAAGGAAAACCCATCAGAATAACAGTAGATATTTCCTCACAAACCATCAAGTCAAGAAGAACATGGAGCAAAATATTCCAAGTTCTATGAGAAAACAAATTCCAACCCAGACTGATATACCCTACAAAATTCTCCTTCAAGTTTAATGGAGAAGTAAAATACTTCCATGACAAAGAACCACTAAAAAAACTCATGATGACCAAACCAACACTACACAGAGTGCTAAAACATATTCTAGAAAGGGATTAAAATGACCACA